GGCCAGGCAGTGGTGGCACACACCTTAAATCCCAGCACTTGGGAGGGAGAAGCAAGAAGATCAGGAGTTCAAGGCCACCCTGGGCTACACAACACTGATCCAGTCCAAAAGAGAAACAGAGCTAGGCGGTGGAGGCTCACACCTTTAATTCTAGCACGTGGGAGGAGGAGACAGGAAGTGATATGGCTGGGCGGAGAGAGGAATATAAGGCGGGAGGAGACAGGAGCTCAGTCCCTTTTAGGCTGAGGAGTTGGCGAGGTAAGAAGTGGCTGTGTCTTGCTCTTTTGTCTCTCTGATCTTCAGGCAAGCTTTATTTGTTAGAGCACAAACAAAATATCACCGCAATAGCCCACCAAACCAGGACCACCAGCTGGTAACCAAGTGAGCCCATGGGGGACAGCTCACATTCAAGTTATGGTAGCTTTCAAGGACCCAGAAGGTGAGAGGCGATTCCTCTGCACACACAGCCCCTGTCTGGCTTCCCAGTCTCTCACCCTCTACTCTCTGGCTTACATCTGGGCTATCCCCTGCATTCATTACATTTCCATCGCTGGCCTAAAAATACCTGAAAGAAACACCTAAATGGAAGAAGGATTTTGGCTCATGGCTGGAGAGGATAATGTTGTCCACTGTGATGTTGAAGGCATGGTAGTTGAGGTGACTAGAATGCAGCTGTTTACATCTGGGAGGTGAACACTGTCACATGCTCTTAGGAGATTCTGTTCATTTTCCTTTTCCCCTGTTTTTCAAATAGTATATTCTTTTTTGGTTTGTTTGTTTGTTTTTTGTTTTTTTCGAGACAGGGTTTCTCTGTGTAGCTTTGTGCCTTTCCTGGAACTCGCTTTGGAGACCAGGCTGGCCTCGAACTCACAGAGATCCGCCTGCCTCTGCCTCCTGAGTGCTGGGATTAAAGGCGTGCGCCACCACCGCCTGGCAAATAATAGTATATTCTATATTCATCCATCTTTCCATCTTCAAGCTTGCTGATTCTTTCTCTTTCCAATTCAGGTCTGCTGTTGAGCTCCCCCCAGTAATATTTGTTTTTTTATTTAAAATTTTAATTTTAGGTGTGTGACTGTTTTTCACCTGTGTGCCACCTGCATGCAGTGCCAGAGGAAGCCAGAAGAGGGCATCTGATTTCCTGGCAACTAGAGTTACAGTCAGTTGTTAGCCACCATGTGGGTGGTGGGAATCGAACTAGGCTCCTCTGGGAAAGCAGCAGCACTCTTAACCTTTGAGCCATCTCTCTTAACTGCCTCCACCAACATTAAAAAAAAAAACCTCATTTATTGTACTTTCAACTTCAGATACCATTATTTTAAAAATACTTTTTATCTGCTTGTCAATATTCTGTATTTGATGAGTCATTGCTCTCATAGTTTCCTTTATTTCTCAAGCACGCTCTCCAGTAGCTATTTCAACATATGCATAATGGTTGCCCTGGGGTTTGTTCACCTGACAGGTCCTCTCACAGGCAGTTTCTGTAGCTTTCTCCCACCCTACCCACACACCTCCCCCCACCCCCATTCATGGTGTACTAGTTCTGCTCTGTTTTGAACTCATGTCTTTTAAATTTTGGTTGGACACTGGGCATTTAGAGTGTGGCCCTGGACATACACGTGGTTAGTCTGGAAGGACAGTGGCTTGCCTAGGGTGCCCTGTGACTGTCCCCCATCTCCCTGTTAGTCTTTGCTGGGGTCACACCTAGCCGTTAGGTTCCACCTCATTGATAAGTAATGGGTCCGCTGCTCACAACTATGTCCTAGGGCATGCATTGCTGAAAGATTGATGCACCTGAAATACAGGCTCCTTCCCCAGGGGTAGTTTCCTGCAAGACTGCAGTTTGTTCTGACCCCAGGAGGGCTCCCTGTGGCTCAGTTTAAAAAAAATAAATAAATGATTTTCTCTGGTAGCTGTTTGCCTTGTGGTTTAGCTTATTGGGATTATGAGGCTGTGGCCTCCTGTTAATTTCTCGCTACCAAGATCTCTACTGTTTTTGAAACTGCCCCTGAAGAAGTCCTTGAAGAGTTTAGATGTCGGTGTTTACAGCTTGCCTGTGGCCACCAGGGTAACACCTTGCTTTCTGAGTTGAGTACTAACTAGGTGGGACTGGAGCTTCATCTGGCTCTTTTTCTTTTCTCCCAGCATGGTATTTCCACTGCATGGGTGAGCTAGTGTGAGCATGACCAGGGCCCCAGCACTCTCAGAGCAAGTGGCCAGCGCAATTTCTGAAATGTGAATGGGGCAGGGTGCAGGAAGGGCTCCTTGCCTTCCAGCCATGCTCATTCAAGACTGCATCTTGGCTGCACAGAGCTGGAGTTCAGTGGGAGAGGCTGGTAGCCTCTTGCCTGTAGGGCTGAGCTCTGGACTGGGGGCTGGTGAGGAGAGCTGGTGTGTTCTTGGCTGTGCCCCTGGAGCTGACTTCTGTTCCTCACGAGAGGAAGTGGTCACAGTTCTAATATCACAAGACTCATCGTTCTTACACAGTTTTAGTAGATTTTCTTTTTTCATTGTGTGTGTGTGTGTGTGTGTGTGTGTGTGTGTGTGTGTGTGTGTGTGTGTGTGTGTGAATGTTTTGGGTATGCTCATCTGTGCATGAGAATGCAGGCCAGATGTCAATATTCAGTGTCTTCTATTACTCTCCACTTTATCTTTTTGAGACAGGGTTTTCACTGAACCGGATTTCACCATTTTTGGCTAGACTGGCTAGCCAGTGGGCTCCTGGGACCTGATTGTCTCCCCCCACTGGTGCTGGGGTCACAGATGTGTGCTGCTGTGCCTGGCTTTTACATGGGTGCTGAGGATCTGAACTGGGATCCTCCTGCTTGCACAGCAAACATTTTACTCCCTGACCCATCTCCAAAGTCCAGATTTTCCTGAATAAACTTTCTTGAGTTGCTCCACGATCTAAGATAATTTCCAGAGAATTTAGAAGTCATTTCCACCACAAATAGCTGCTTTGCTGGAGGAGCTTGTCCACGGAGCTCTTCACATCAGCACAGGGCTCTGGGCAAGACCATAGGCTCTCAGTTTTGGGAGCTCGATCCCACCTCTCACTTGAAATTATTGCAACATTTGGAAGTCCTGAAGATTGAACTCAGGACTTTGTATATTCTAGGCAAGTGATCAACCACTGAGATGAACCACATCCCAAGGCACTGGAGAGGGAAAAGGTTTATTTTTGAGATACAGTCTTGCTATGTAGCCCAGGCTGGCCTTAGATCCTTGTGCCTCAGCCTCCTGCGTGTTGAGATCATAGGCATACAACCCCATCTAGCTTAGAGATTCAGTATTTGTCCAAGTGTTATTTGTAATAACTCAGTGTTGAAAGGCTTGTAACAAAGGCCTCCCCTCATTTCTCCCCCATGTCTTCCTTATCTCTATCCCCAGAGGCACTCTGCAGTTATGGGATGACCCACCGGCCAGCTTACTCTTCATGGAGGTTCCTCCTGGTGCCCTGGCTTCTCCCTCACTCTAGTTCCTCCCAGCTCCTCTCTTAACCCCAGCCCGCTGTCCCTCCAGGACTTCCTGTTCATTTTCTTGTGTTGGATTACATGATGGCTGAACCTCATCATCTTTCTTGATTTTATTTCTTTATTTGGGTGGCATGTATCTTGCTGCTGGTGGGGTTTGGGGAAGGACTCCTGAGCCATGCTGATGGGGTACAGATGGACACAGCCACCGTGGGGGGTCACAGGCATACCTTTTCTTGTCAGTGCCTAAAGCATCCTCATCACACCTGAGGAGGTTGGGCTCCGTAATCACTGACTTACGGATGCTGTGCGGTTCCCAGTCTTCTTTCTCTCAAACAGCTCTGCAGTAAGAGTTCATAAGCATAATGGCCAGATGAGTCACTAGGGGTGACAGCCACAGACAACATTCAAACATCTGTAATTTTGGTGGCACCTCCCTACTCTGGTTGGTCCCTAGATGGTGGTACCGGAAGGAACCTTGGGGCTTTTTTTCTTTCCTAGCTAGGGTTTCTTTGTGTAGCCCTGGCTAGCTCTGTAGACCAGGCTGGCCTCAAACCCACAGAGATCTGCCTGTCTCTGCCTCCTGAGTGCCCGGGTTAAAGGCATGTGACACCACAGCCTGGCAGAGCCTTGGAGCTTTTAAGAGAAGAACGTGAATGTAGTCCTTGAGGGAATCGAGGGTACTGCTCTCTCTATGAGGCCTCTTGGGAATTACTGCGAGGAACTCTCTCGGGCTGTCTGTAGAGTTGGCGATCCTCTACCCTCACAACTCTCCATCATTTTAATCTGCCCTGATGTGCCACAGTAAGGGACTTGCCAGAGCTGAGTCAATTCAGGTGCCATGTCCCTGACCCTCTGGACCTCCAACTAGACCTCCTTATTTTGTTAGTCTTTTCAAGTATTTTGCTAAGTGATTAACAGTGACTGACACCCTGTCAAAGTCAGCTCTGGAATGTATCAATTTACATTATAAAGGGCAATGCTTGGGCAGCCCTCATGGAGGGCTAGATGTAGACAAGTCATTGGCCCAAGGGCTGATGCACTCCCCAAACTCCAGTGGGCATCAGTGAGGAGTTGCATGAGGCAGAGGAGGCCATTTTGGTTGGATGCTGCCAGAACTCTTTCAGAATTCTAGGGATTCCTCACAGGCCTTCAAGTTGTCTTTGTAGCCGGGAGACAGGGATGGAGCTTTCTACCTTATTTTCTTGGGGGGGACAAAGGTTCTCACTGAACTTTCAGCTCAGCAACCAGCCACACTGGCTGGCCAGCAAGCTCCAGGGATCTGCTTATCTCTGCCCATCCAGCACTAGGGTTACAGATGTGCTCCACCAACACTGGCTTCTGCACAGGAGCTGGGGATCCAAACTCAAGTACTCCCCCGAGAAAGCCACCTTTCAACCCCACATCCTGTTCTGAAAGTGTACTGATACATTCCCAGGGACGATCTGGGAACCCCGCACTGTACTCCGTTAAAGCTCATCTTGGACCTAAGGATCAGACACACATCATGGACACTCATGTGCAGGATAGGTATACAAACGTGTGTGTTTACTCCGACTCTAAAGTTTACAAGGGAGCTAGGCAGAAGGTCATAATATACACATTGCCGACTCCATGACTCGGGTTTGGCTTACTGACTTGGTTCACTGCTGTCGCCGGAAGGCTATCCTGATACCAGCAGGATGCGAAAGGAGATGGGTGACTGCAGAAACAAGTCCACCGGCAGGGGCAGGACAGGGGCCCATCAGCAGAATGCCAGGGGCCAGAGTGGGCTCTGAGCTGGTGCAGGCACATCCCATGTTGCACCATGATGCCTGTTGCTGTTTTAGAGGCTCCCAAGCCACCTGGTGACAGATGGCGGTGTTCATCTCCATAGATCTTAACAAGATCATGTGATTGCAGTCGCCCAGCCCATTGGGGTAGCGCCGTGTCCCTGTCCAGAATGGACAGACTGAGTATGTGACCCACTTGGTCATGAAGGCAAAGTTTGCCCAAGGCATGTTACCCATGCTCTTGGAGGCCCTGCAGGTCAGCCAGGGCTGAGATCCCGTAAAAGGTTTCCTAGGCCAATGCGGCCATTGTGGCAGGTGCCAGGCCACAGGGTCTGGTTTGCAAAGTAGCGAGGCTTTGCGTCAACCTCCACCTGTTGGGCCATCTGTGACAGGGCTGGGATGGGCTGTCAGCTCCATTGCTTCCTCCTCCTCCTCCTCCTCCTCCTCCTCCTCTGTCTCGGCTTCTCATGTCTTCCCCAGAATAGAAGATCTGCAGATTCAGACACACAGGAGAGTAAGGTGAACCCCTCCCCTGGGGCCAGACTGCTTCCACCAGAGGGCACCTTCTCAGCACCGTAGAGGGGCCCAGAGGGGGTGTGGCAGATCCTTTGGGCTCGGCCCTCTGAGCCCATTGCTTGTTTCTGACTTCCACCTGGCTCTGCTAACATGCTGAGCAAGCTAGAGACAGTGTGTATGGGCGGGGTGGGATGTGCGCGTGCAAGCGTGTTGTTTTCTGGCATAAAAAATATGGACCAGGAGTTCCTGGCCCTGGGATATGCATCCTGACCATCCCACAGAGGTGCAATGACCCCAGGGAGGGGTCACTGGCTCAGTCTCCTTCCAGTATCCATAACCCTTGAGTTCCTCTCTGATCTCTCTGGTCCTGGCTTGTTCCTCTTCCCTCCTCACAGGGAGAAGACTGTTTCCTTGCAAACCCCTCTGCCCTGTCCTGGCTCCAAGTGACCCACTTGTCTCCCTCCACCCACCTTGCATGCCCCATCCTGGGGCACACAGACCCACCTTAGGGATCTCCACCTCTCCTTTTCTGTCTGGTTCTCTGGGCTCTCACTCTCATAGGAAGCCAAATACAGACCTAAACCAAAACGGAAGTGAAATTATACAATTATGGTAGATGACGGTAAAACTCTTTGTTCACCCAGAACTTGACCAGCTTTTTGTTTGTGAATTAAACATCTCGTCTGGAGGTCATTGTACATAGGCAGTTTTACAAAACAGCATGCAGAAATCCCATGGCCCCTCTACTCAGTTTCCCCCAGCAGTACCCACGTGCGAAACTATAATACAGAGCGTGTCCTTCACTTATGATGGTTTAATTTTTTTGCTCATGATGATGGTATAAGATGACACAATCTGAAATTTGAATTCGGATTTTTTTTCCTTGGCTAGCAATAGGAAGTGTGCTCCCCTCTGTGAGCTTCAGCCACACCCCCATCAGTCACGTGACTCCAACACATACAGTGTATCATAGTCAATAAACAACACGGACTATTCTGCATATAGTGATGTAATCTGTTTCATGTTAGACCAGGCATGTTGGCACACCTTTAAGCCCAGCACTCAGGAGACAGACGCAGTCAGATCTCTGTGAGTTCAAGGCCAGCCTGGTCTACATAGAAAATTTCGTGCCAGCCAGAGCTACATAGTGAGACCCTGTAATGTAAGCATTCTAAGCACGTTTGCCGCAGGTGATCTGTAGGCTCAGGGTACTAGAGATGTGTTTCTGACTTACGGTGTTTCCACCTTAGGATGGGTTTACTGGGGTGTAATTCCATCATGAACCGAGGTGCCCTGGTACAGTATTACCATAATCAGGACACTGACATTGGCAGAGTTTAGACACCAGTCATTTCATAACAGCTGAAGCGCCCATGGGCAAAGGGGCCCCTTTAGAGTCACCTCCACATCCTTTATTGCCTCACACTTCCTTTTTCCTTTATCCTCTCCTCCCCTCTTCTCCCTCACCCGCCCCCCCCTCTTTCTTTCTTTCTTTCTCTTTCTGTGATATTGGGGATTGAACCTAGGGCAGCATTCCATCACCAAGCTACATCCCAGATCTCCCGACCCCTTTTCTTAATTTCTGACAATCACTAGTGTAGTCTCCATTTCTTTCTTTTGATCATTTGAAGAATGCTATATAAAGTCATATATATATATATATATATATATATATATAACATATATGTAACCTTTTTGAGACTGGAGACTCATCCATGAGGTGGCATGTATCAGTGGCATGCATCCTGTTTGAGTCTGAAAAGGTCTAAAGCAGGGGTGTATCACAGTTGGTTTAACCATACACCCACTGATAGACACTGAGTTGTTTTCAGGTTGACACTGTAACAAAGGGAATTTATAGACACTGATATATGGAATTTAGTTTCTCTGTGAGCATGGATGTCATTTGTCTAGACTAAATCAATGCCCAGGAGTGCAATTTCTTGGTCATAAAATGTTAATAGTGCTCAGTTTTACAAGAAACTCTTTGTCAGTTGGGCATGCCGGTCCCTGTCTGTAATCCCAACGATAAGGGACCCAAGTGTGAGTTTGGAGTTAGTCTGGACTACATAAGTTCTAGGCTAACCTGAGCAACACAGTGAGACCCTACCTCAACAAACGAAACAGAACAAATCTAGATAACCACAGAAAGCAAAACAGACAACCCAAACCAAGCCCCCTTTGTCTGCACAGGGACTTCCTGGGATGTGACAGTTTGTTATGACCCGGCTATGTCCCAATAAACTCCTACAAAGGGAAACTGCTGTTCTTAAATCCATGCATTTAACAAGCCAGACATGGCGCCACAGGCCCGCAACCCCAGCTGCTCTGGAGGCCGAGGGAGGAGGATCATCAGGTCAAGTTTGCCTGGGCTACAAAATGAGTTCAAAGCCATCCCAGGCAACTTAGTGAGACCCTGCCTCAAAATAAAAAAGAGGCCTGGGGATATAGCTCAGTGTTAGGATATTTGCCTGGTGATGGTGTGAGGTCTTGGGTTCAATCGTTTCCAGAAATCAATGTCTCATGCCAGTGTGTATCACATGCTGCCCTCACACATGGCCCCCACACATGCACCATCCATGGAAAGACCCATAACTGGGCCATTGCTCTGCTCTCTCATATGAGCCCCAGTTCTTATCCTCATTCCTATCTTAGGAATGAAGAAAACAGGGGAGGTTGATGTTGAAACGAGCCTATACCCTACTCTAATTCTTCCATAATGTATAGAGTTCTGACACTGTGGAAAGACAACCATGTTAACTTATGCTTGCAACATAGTATGCCCATGGCAGACAGACAGGCTGCTCATGGTTAGAATGCCCAACGATGAAGTCCTAGCATGTACTGTTGAGTTGGCCTTGTGCTCCTTAGGAGGCACCTGGGTGCTCATTAGGGCCAGCAGTGTGATGTGTCTCTGCCCAGAGTTGGGGTCCCTGCACAGTGACTGACTAAAGGGCTGAAAGACCACTGGACAGTCTACTACCTGGATGCCAAGGCCATGGGGCTAACTTACCATCTTCGCTGAAGATGGGGGCGGTATACAGGTAATGGGTGATGCTGGGATCTTGCTCAAAAGGACATTCCACTTGTTTCCAGGTGATGAACTCTCCAACCTGTTTGGCCAGTTCCAGAAATTTCTGCAGGGTTTACAGAGACTCAAAATGGAGCAAAGTGAGTGGCTTGCCTTGGCAAAGCCCTGGCTCATCACCCTTGAGTGATCTTGTGGATCTGAGAAGAAACATGGGGCCACAGGTGACAGAGAACCTAGGAAGGATGCTGGGACTTCTGGGAGGATCACCTTGCCAATTCTCCTTCATCCTTCATAGCAATTCACGACACCTGTCATCTCATCAAGGGGGGTGGCAGCCATTAGCCTATAGTTTTGTCTCATTATGTAGCCCTGACTGGCCTGGAACTACCTATGTACGTCAGGCTGGCTTCGAACTCACAGAGATCCTTTTGCTTCTGCCTCCAGAGTGCTTGGATTTAAAGGTGTATGCCACCACACCTGACTGCCCAAAGCCTTTATCTGCATGTAGCAAGAATGTGCATAGCTTTATTTGAATTTATTTTAGTGTTTTTCTTTTGGGAAAGTGACATACACTTGTTGACTTATAGGGTGATGTAAATATAGTTCAGTAAAGCTATTTAAGTAAAATTCAAGTAATTTTAAGAGATATGTGTTATTTTTAATTATGTGTATATATGTGGGTATGTGCACATGAGCACAGGTGCCCACAGAGGCTAGAAGAGGGCGTTAGAACCCCTGGAGCTGGAGCACAGGAATCCATCCATGAGTCTCCTGACATGGTGCTGGGAACCAAACTAGGGGCTTGTGGAAGATCAGTACATGCTCTTAACTGCTGATCTATCTCTGCAGCACAGGTGACCTCTTAAAAATGTTATGCCATTTTATTTATTTATTGTGCATGTATGTACATGTGTAGGCATATGTGTACCTTGGTGCTCATGTGGAGGTCAGAGGACAACTTGCTGGGGTCAGTTCTGTCCTTCTAACCATGTGGATCCTAGGGATGGAACTCAGGTCATCAGGCAGCCAGTACCTTCATCCACGGGCTATCTCAACAGTCCTCAGTAAACTATTTCAAGTGTATTTTTAAATAAAATAATCTTTCAATATGCACAAGCAGTTGGTTCTAGGATTCCTTCAGCCCCCACCAAGATACCCAAATCCACAGAGGCCCCAGTCCCTTTTCTAAGATGGTATATTATTTCCATGTAGCAGATATACCTCATGTTGCCTGCTTCAAACCATCTCCAGGTTTCTCCTGACACCTAACACAATGTAAACGCTACGCAGATGGCTTCTGTGTGCACTGTTCCGGGAAAAGTGACAAGGGAAACAGTCTGTACATCTCCAGTACAGATGTAAATAAGAAATGTTTTCCACCAATGCAGAACTCACGGAAACAGAGGGCTGGCTACATGTGTGTTTAAATTTTCCAAGTATGCTAACTTTCAGAAGGGTTTTAGACACATAGCAGCTGGCTGTGGTTTGACTGTGAAATGCTCCCCACAGGCTGGTGTGTTTGAACACTTCTTCCCCAGCGGGCAGTGCTGTTGAAAGGTTACGAGACCTTCGGGGAGGTAGAGATTTGCTGGGTAAGTAGGTCCCCGGGGGTGGGCTTTGAGGGTTTACAGCCTGGCCCCACTTATTTCCGGAGTGCAGACGCAATGTGGTCAGTCAGCTTCCGGCTCCTACCTCCATGCTCCCTACGATGATGGACTCTCACTGCTTTAGAACTATAAGCCCAAACAAACCCCTTCTCCTTGGTTCTTGTCAGCAACAGCAAGGAGAATAGGACACAGCCCAAAGCCATGCCTGGGGCTGACAACCTGCCCTCGGTCACCCCTCAATCAGCCCAGTAGCTGGGTCTAGCCGCCACCACCTGCTCCCTCACTGTGTGGTTTCATGAGGGAGTGTTTCACAGTCTTCCCCAGCTCTGATTCTAGGGACCAATTCAAGAAGAGGAAATGATGGAGTCCCAACTCCCAATTATATGTCAGGATCACCAAAAACAACAACAAAAAGCCCATCCCAGGCCCCTGTGCCCCTGTGATCTCATCCATGTGGCCTCTAGACAAAAGCCTGGGAACACATGCTGGGTTGGACAGTCCCCTGGCTCTGCCAGCTTTGGGACAATTAGGCCTGTGAGTCACCTGCTATAGGCCAAAGAGCCTAGGCTTGTGCTGTGGTCCTCATGAGCAGGGAACACTCAGAGAGTTTTTGACAGCCGCCAAGACCTCTGTATGGTCACAGTTGTGGCCCATTTCACAGAGGGAGGGGATGAGCTTCCTATATCACTTCTCGACCTTCCCTTTAACACAGCTCCTCATGTTGTGGTGACCCCCGACCATAAAATTATTTTCATCGCTACTTCATAACTGTGATTTTGCTACTGTTAAGAACTGTGATGTAGCCAGGCAGTGGTGGTGCATGCCTTTAATCCCAGCACTTGGGAGGTAGAGGCAGGTAGATCACTGTGAGTTCAAGGCCAGTCTGCTCTGCAAAGCAAGTTCCAGGACAGTCAGGGCTACACTGAGAAACCAAGGTTAAAAAAAAAAAAAAGGATTGTAACGTAAATATCTGTGTTTTCCGGTAGTCTTTGGCAACCCCTGTGAAGGGGTCATTTTTGGACCCCAAAGTGTCGCAACCCACAGATTGAGAACCACTGAAATAGAGCAAGTAAAGGTCCAGGACTCATGTTTCTTGGAGCTGAAAGCTGAGTGGGCATCAGGTGACCATTGAGGGAGATCGGAAGGTCCCATTCCCACAGATCGGAAGGTCCTATTACTCCATGCCTTGCTCTGTTTGTAGAGCCCACCAGCCACCCTGGATGTGGGTGGACCCCTCTGAGGCATTCAGGAACTCCAGTTCTCTGAGCGAGTAACCAATGCCCTGGCCGGCTGTGGACCCCGGGCAGTGGGATCTCTCTGCCTGAGAGGTGCTGGGGACTTTCTGGAGGAGGGGACATTTGATGAGACTGGTGATCTGAGGGAGCAGATATCTCTCTTTGCTTCTGCCCTCTGTGGTTTCTGCTTCACAACTCCATCCTGTTGTTCAGGGACCGTCCTTCTGGGGACCTGCCCTGGCTCCCATGTACGACGCATTTGTGTGGTCCCTGGAGCACCTTGACAGCTGTTGTCATGGGTCTCCAGGGTTGGCTTTCTCTTCAACCTGATGCTCTTCAAGGATCAAAATGTTCCCTGTGCTGAGAACAACATTTAGCACGGAGGGCTTGTTGGCATGTGGCTGAGCCTCATCCTCTCTCTTGTTGGGGGACCCAGATAATCCTACTCCGAAAGGGCTGTAAGCTGTTGTACTCTGCCTTTTCTGGAGCCCCCATTAATCCAGGTATCTAGAGGCTAACAGTCCCATATTGTGAGATATTTGATTACACTGTGTAAAGATATGTCACTCTGGCTGGTTTAATAAAAAGCTAAACAGTCAATAGCTAGGCAGGATTTTTGGGGCAGAGAGAATGCTGTAAAGAAGGCAGAGTTGCCAGCCAGTCAGAGAGGGAGCAAGATATTCAGGAGGACAGGTGAAAGCCGTGAGTCATATGGAAACAGATAGATTAATAGAAATGGGCTAATTTAAGTTATAAGAGTTAGCTAAGAACAAGCCTAAGCTATCGGCCGAGCATTCATAATTAACAAGAAGTGTGATTTTGGGGCTGGCTGGTGGGACAGAGAAAGACTCACTACAGTCCCATGCTGGCAACTTTTGTCTATGCGTGTGTTTGTATCTGCATGACTACAGGTGCGTGTGGGCAAGTAGAGGCCAGGGGACAACCTCAGGTACTGTCCAGCTTGCTTTTTGAGACAGTCTCTCACTGGCCTAGAACTAACCAGTTAGGCTGGGCTGACTGGCCAGAGAGCCCCAGAGATCCACCTTTCTCCTCCTTCCAGGACTAGGATTATGAACATGCGCCAACAAACTCAGCTTCTCTTCATATGGGTTCTGGGGTTGGAACTCAGGTCCTCAGTAAAGTGCATCACAAGCACTTCAGTGAGGTGTCTCTCTAGCTGCCTCCCCTGTTTGTGCTGGGAACTTTTAGCAGCTTGTCTCACTTGCTGGCATCACTGAAGGCCTGTGGACCCACCTCAAAGTTGACATGCCCATTGGGAAGGCGGTTGGCGCAGCCCTCGTTGAGGAAGTAGATGTCCTTGATGAGCAGACTGAAGAAGGGGATGACAATCTAGAAGGGAGAGGGTGCAGAGCAACTTACAAGCACAGTCCCAGCAGCCCAGAGCCAGAAGGGGGCTCGGAGTACAGGCACATGAAGCCCTAGCTTATGGTCACCTGCCCCACGGTCACCCAGCCTCAGCATGGATGGGAGAAAAATCATGCAGAGATACACTGTTGGAAGAGACTTCTCCATTCAGAGCTCAGCCCAGCTTCTATATAGTCTGCCCTACAGTCCAACTCTTGAGCTGTGAGCCAGTACCTCTGTGACTAAAACACAGCACCACCTGTGTCCTGGCAACAGAGAAGCAGTCGATGGACTATAACAAGGCCATGGTATTCACAGCTGTGCAAGATGGGGTTTGATACCCGGCTCTGCCACGGCCTAACAGTACAACTGGACAGTGAAGAATCCTCTCTGAGACTCAGTCTTCCAATCTGGCAGATGGGAATGCTGAAGCCTGTCAGAGTTAAGCAGAGGGCCGGGAAGCATGGAGCCCAACGCACTAGATGCTCAGTGGAGAGAGCTTCCTGCCCTTGCTGCCTGGCTTCCTAACGTTCTGGGTCCTAGGCTGGGACAGGCTTACGAGGGCAGGGATGGAGCTAGGTGATCTGGTCCGCCAGGTTCCTAACTGCTACAGTTTGGATCCTGTGTTTTCCAAAGGCCCATATGGCTATGGATTGCTTCCCAGGGAGGTGTTCGTGGGAGGCAGTGGAAACCTTAGGAGGTAGGGTTTAGTTAGCAAGAGATATTTAGTTTCTGGGGATATGTCTTTGAAGGGACTATGAGACTCTGGGTTCTTTTTCTTCTTTTTGGCTCCCCTACCATCAAGTGAACAACTTAATTTTTATCATGTGTCTTTACCAGGAAAGGCCCACAGCCACAAAGTCAACCGATCACGGACTGAAATCGTTGAAATGATCAGCCGAAACCAAACCTTTGCTCCTTATGGGTTTCTGTAACAGAAAGCTGATCAACACATGCAGTGATACAGCCCGCCTGAGATAATACGGTCTGGAGGAGGGAGGAGCTATGGAGGCTGGCACTTCCGGCCTTTGACGGTCCCTTCCCTACCTTCTCTCTGCTGCTGTGGGCAGTCAGGGAGCGGTGAGCCGCCCCACGCAGGGCTGTCCTATAGTTGCAGAAATTCCCCGTTGGGTCCATCTGGTGCTGGAAGAAGACACGGAGGCATTTGAGCGGCTACGTTCGTTCGGGGACCTGCTGGCCACACCCCTTGGAGCAGCAACCCTGTTTACCTCTAGGATGAAGAACTTGGCTGTTTTCACTTTGGCCCAAGTCTTCTTCAGCCTGGAGACAGGGCTCATGTTCATACCGGCTGGAAGAAGGCGTATAGAGCTGGGAGGGATCCTCCAGCCTGGACAGTCCCCTTTGTTCCCACATGAAAAGAGGTCTCAGTGTGCCCCGACTGTGGCTGAAGGGAAGCTGAGTGGGCAGGTACTGGTGGACTCTGGACTGAGGTTGGCAGGTAACTGACCCTGTCCCAACTACATGGGCATCACCAGTACCTATTTTGGTCTCCTCATTCTCTCTGTCTCTGGGTGCACACTGCCAAACTCTTCAAATGCACCCCTTGGGGACTGGTCTTGCTTCAAATGGAGCAGCTCCATCAGCCTCTGGGGCAGGGATACGGCCTACTGGCCCCCTAGCCCACAGCCACCCACTGCAGGGAAGACCCTTGACATGCACCCCACCTGCCAGCCGTGCCCACTTTAACCTCTCTGGGGGTCCTCACACAGGGTGTTCCAGGCCCGGGCAAGCTCACTCACAGATAATGGCCATGAGGGAGTTGAAGTTGCCGATGTTGAAACACTCACGGGCCACATCAATGAAGAACTCGATCACCTGGGCTCTCTGCTTCTTCTTGGCTGGCTGGGGAGAGGACATCAGAGCTGCAGGGGGCACATGTCCCTCCCCCTCCCTGCCCAAACACCCCGTTCCACCAGCCTCCTCCTGCTCTTCTCAAAGCCCATTTTACAGCCGAGAAGACCAAGGCCCAGGGTCTCAGGACCCTTTTGCAGCAGAGCCAGTGCACACCGTAGAGGTGTGGAGGGCAGATGTGACCTGATGAAGCTCCTGTGGGGGCACAGGCACCCCTGCAGCTGCCAGGGGCTGTGAGGCATCTTTGAGGTGGTTCCCCTCAAGGCTGAACTTCCCCTGAACGACAGAAGTCCTGACATTTCCTTCCCTCTCGCCACGGAACTTGCCCTCTCCTCAGTCAGGGCCATACACCAAGTCCAGGTCCTGCTCTGTGGGCTGCCCCTCCATTGCTTTCTGTCTGAGAAAGTCACCTTGGGGACAAGTACTTGGGACTCTCTACCTTTCTGGCGGGTTGGAATCGAACTGTCCTTTTCCCCAGGCCACCCCAGGTGGGTTCCTGGGTGTCCAGCTATGCTCTGTCCAGCCTCCACACAGGTAAATCCTGGCTGAGTTGCCGAGCCAGTAATGTGACTATGGGAACGGGGCCGGGCCAGTACAGCTCAGGTGGATCCTGCTTGTCTATCCACACAGTGGTAGTCTCGCCAGCCACCAAGAAGTGTACCGTGACACCTCTGTAGATGTGGCCACCAAAGCCCCTCCAAGGAGTGGTCTCTGCTGCAGAAAGCTGCCCACCTGAGGTCTAGTCCTGTCCTTCAAATGGCGACACTCACCGACGACAGCGACAGAGGTTTAGATAAAGGCTAACATCTCACCCCACTATGGACACCCCAGGGCAGTTTCTCCATTAGCACACGCCTGACTGCCCTGTTCATGTCTCAGGGGCTGACCCCTAATGAGCATTGACCCTTGACCTCTGTCTCAATGCCTGCACCCAGTGAGCCCAATTGGACTGGCCAGTCTGTCCCGTTGTGCTTCACCTTATCGGACACTGCCCTTGGTACAAAGGAAAAGCAGATGAGAGGCAGGGTGTGGCCAGGGTGGCCAACACCGGGATGCCAGAACTTCCTGCTGACAGAAGCAGCCATTGGCCTGGACTTGTTTTACCATTCCGTTTTTTAAGAATTATGGTCCATCATTTTCTATATTCAGAAAATGACATATAAAAAGTGCACTGGAGACTGATGGTTTGGGTGAAATTGTTCAGACCCTTCAGAACACTGACTATACATACATGTTCAGTGAAACCTGCTTTTCCCCCTCAAATATCGTTTACTAACAGCACTAACAACAGCATAGCTTTAGATTACACTCAAGACTCTAGTAAAAAGTAATAGGGGCTTGATATGAAATAAAATAAAGGATTTAGGGATAGATTTATTCCCAATCTCATTGTTGGCCTGAACTTTTAACATGCAATTTCCCAGTTCTTAGAGGTTAGACCATTTTACCTCCAAGCCCCAAGCAAGCTACAGAGCCCAGCTGCCCGAGGCAGACAGGCCCAGAATGAGGCACACAGCCGCCAGACCTTGCTCCTCAGCAAACAGTCCGGCTTCCTCTGCAGCCTCGGCTGGTGGAGCCACCCTGAGATTTACCTACAGGGGACCTTCACTGGAGGGAAGAGGTGAACCTGGTCTGGAACGGTGATCCAGCCAAGCCCTGGACTTGGGAGGTTGGGATTCAGTACATCCTTCCAGGTAGCCTCTGGCTGGCAGGCAGGGCCAAGCTGGCTACTCACCATGCAGATCTCAGTCGCCACGAGATAACACAGCCTGTTGAACCACTTCACATAGGCCTCTACGTTGTTACTCTTGTCACTGAACCGGGGCTAGGAGAGACATGTGCACTGAGTCTCCTTGTTGGTAAGTTTTTAGGGAGCAGAAGCAGATCACAATCATTATAGAGAACCCAGACACTGTGACCGTCTCAAAGTCAGACAGAAACATAATGACCTGATGTGAACTTTCTGATCTTCTTCCTACAAGCCGGCAGCCCTGGTCTCAACCCCACCATCACGGTTCAGGGGGAGAAAACAAAGATGAGGACTGGGGTATAAAGCTCTGCAGTAGATTGCACACTCCTAATGTGGGAGGTCCTTGGTTCCATCCACAGCACCAGATAAAGTACAAATAAATGAATTAAGGAGGCTGTAATTCAAAATTATGGGTGTGTACACACAGAACCAATATTTATTATCCATAGACTCTGTATTTGCAAATCTGTCGACTGTTTAATTGTCTTCTGCAGTTCCAACAACTTGTATTGATCTCCCATTCATTGTGTGCAGGGACAGAAAGGCGAAATATCTGAACCACTCAACTTCCATCAGCATTTCCAGCCAAGACTGAACTAAATGAAGCTGTCCTGTTCTGTTCTGCTCGTACTGTGAGCAAGGATCCTTTCCCTGCCTTTGTTCAGTGTCTCTTTTATTTTTGTGTTTTCTTTGGAGAGCAGTTTCAGTGTTTGAAAGGATTCCAAGAATAATACTGAAGTGATATATTTTATTCCTAAGCACACGAAGGTTATGGTGTGTCCTACAGAGAAATAAGTGCTACACTGCCTTCATTTATCTGTGACTTATACAGACTTGGGTAGACAGAGAGAGAGATGGATATATAGACAGACAGATGGGCAGACAGACAGATAGATAGGTAGATGGAGAGATAGACAAGTCGGTAGATAGATTAGATATACATACAGATAAATATTTCCTTTCTGTGGTGCTAGGGCCTTGTGCATGGTAGGCAAGCTTTCTACTCCAGAGCTACATCTCAGACCTAGGCATGAGTTGGTCTGGCCATCTGCCCTGAGTTTAGTGTTAATCAAGGATGCACAGTAAATATGTGTCTTTAAACATAAGCACATAACCGTCATTATGTGTTGATTGTTTCTAGAAAGTATTAAAAAGTTTGTCAGAACCTAATGCTGCATTTTCCTCCAAGAACAATAGCTTAGGATTGCTAATTTGATGTTTGTGTTGGCATTCTAGAACATAATTACTTGGAATAGCAGAATCAACTCTGTATGTGTGTGTATTATGTATGTATGTATGTATGTATGTATGTATGTATGTATGCATGTATGTGTGTGTGCATATCTATAACTATAGATTTCCATTAGAAACTTTTCCTGAGTCATAAAATGATAGGAGAAAAACAAATTTAAATCTACGCTGAACATTCTCTGTGTGGTATATACTTGTGCCATTGTTTAAACGATTAAACTTAAGGTAAAGAAATGTGTATGTTGAGCCGGTGGTGGTGGTGGTGGTGGCACACGCCTTTAATCCCAGCACTCGGGAGGCAGAGGCGGGTGGATCTCTGTGAGTTTGAGGCCAGCCTGGTCTACAGAGTGAGTTCCAGGACTACAGAGAGAAATCCGAGAGACAGAGACAGAGAGAGAGAGAGAGAGAGAGAGAGAGAGAGAGAGAGAGAGAGAGAGAGAGAGGAGGAGGAGGAGGAGGAGGAGGAGGAGGAGGAGGAGGAGGAGGAGGAAAGAAATCTCTATGTGAAAACTAGCAAGATAAATTACAATTACTAGAGGAGGAAGATGGAAAAAGATGCAGAGAAAGGCAAGAGAGGGAAGTAGGCGGCCAAGGGAGAGAATGACAAATGCCGCGGGAGTCGGTGAGGACAAACCCTGTGGAGCGGCCACTGCAACCAAATCCCACTTCTTGCCATTTTCTAAGTCAAGGATAGAAGTAAAAAAGAAATAGGAAATTGCACATTTGCTGAAGGTCACATATTTGGAGGATCCAGACCTTTGTGGCTCAACTAAGATTTTTCAGCTTTATGGTGGGCTTGTCAGGATAGAACCCCGTTGGGAGAACAGGAGGGCCTGTAATGTTCGGACAGGTCTGAATGCAAAAAGTATTCTGAGGGAAAAGCATTGTAGAAGCAGTTAAAGGGTAACCACACAATAAGAGGTCCAATTCGTTAGAAAAATGTCCTGAGTTCAAACAGGTTTGTGCTAAGCAACATTATCTTCAAAATGTGGAGGTAGGGCTGGGGAGATGACTCCGTTTCCCGAGGTTGATGCCAAGAACCACAAAAAAAAAAAAAAAAGCCAAGCTTGGTGGCACTAACTTGTAATCCCACCCGGTGATGTGATTGTTACATTGATGAAGAAACAGAGAAATAAATCACAATGACTATTAAAGAGATGCCAACGCGGATGTGAAGAAATTTAAGAGAACAGTTATTAGTGAGCAACTTTGTATCTGTCAATGTGAAAACTTAAGGGAAGTGGTTAAATTCTTGAAACACTATAAGAAATTACAAAATAATTTAAGAGGAAAGAGAAAAGCAGGGCCCAGCTACAGAGGCTGAGGCAGGGGGATCCCACTTTCAAGGTCTGGCTGAACTAGTTAGTGAGCCTGTCACAAAATTTAAAAAAAAAAAGCGAAGAGGAGGGTTGGGGGTGTGCAGCTCAATGGTAGAGCATCTGCCTGGGAAAGGGAAGGCCCTGGGTTCGATCCTCAGTACCATGGGAGGTGGGGGTGGGGGTGGGGTGGGGGGGAGAAGAGGAAATAGAAAACCTAAACAGTCCTATAGTCACTAAATAATAGCAAAAAATAAACTAAGAAACAATCCAACAAAAACAAAAATTTTAGAGGAACGTGTTTCTCCTAAGAACACATCAGACTCAGATGTTTCCCTGGCAAATGCTGACTAATGCTCCAATAATAGGTAATTCCAGTCTTTGATACATAATAGAGAAAGAGTAGCCAAAAATAATGCCAGGAAAAAAAGTACCAGATCAATCTTACTCCTGGTTAACGATGGCAGAAACTCTAAACAAAACAGCTCACAGGACCCAGGGACGCACCAAAGAGATAAAGGTTTCTTTTGTCCCAGTTCTGCTTATTTCAGAAATGTAAGGTGGATTCAACGTTGATTTAAAAAAAAAAACTAATAAAAACAATCACTTAGCAGTTTAGAGGAGAAGCAACACACGAGTTCTGTGGCGATGCATTATGATGAAAATACCTCTCACATCTCAGAGACGGGAACTTCTGCTGCACCTTACAGGCAAGGTAATAATTACCTTGAGGTCACTGAAGAGTGACTGATAGTCTGCTGTGTACTCAGCCTGTTTGTTCAGCCTACCTCTAAGAGAACAATGTAAAAACATCCGTACTCGCCTTAGATTTTCCACATAATCAGCTTTTGCAGCCTCAGCTAATGCATAGCTTTAATCTTAAAGTGTGTATTCTTCCATGCCCCTGGCCCAGAGCAATGCATGTGTGTTTGTGTGTGTGTGTGCTATAGAAGTCGTTTGCTGGAAATAGCAAACACTATAAAAGAGACCTTGTACAATAAATATCTGCCACTAATGCTGAAAACAGCATGGAGATAGTCTGTCTGCAGAGCTGTTTGTTAGCTGGGTCAGTTGGAATCAGTGGGTTCATCCCTTGTAAAACTCTATGTTAGAGATTTCTGTAAGGTATCCATCAGTCCTTCCTCATGTGATGCCTTCTGTGCTGTTTAATAAAGGAAAACAAAGGCCCATGTTAGGGACAGATTCATAGGGCAGCATTCAGGCAGGCACAGAAATCAGACTCAACCGACAGATTACAGACAGGACAGACGGCAGACAGGCCAGAAACCATAAGCTACACAGAGACAGGAGACATGTGGAAAGGAGTGGAGAGTTCAAATTTGGGCTCACTCTTGGCCAAAGACCTCCAAGAGGAAGTGTTAGATTCTTTTCCTTAATTCTTTTCCTTAATGCGTATCGGTGCATCCAAGACTATCTCTAATGCTGTTAGTCTGTGCAGAGCAATAGAGCTGGAGAAAGAATTCAACAAAACTTCACAATCATGCATGAGGGACCTCTTGACAAACTAAGACGCAAGGCACCTTTCAGACACCTGAAGAAATAACCTAACAGCAAACACACTTGGGTATGGCCTGCTGAAAGTGTTCCTTCTAAAATCAGGAGAAGAAGGCTGTCTTCTCTCAATACCACTGCTCGACATTGTAGCGGGGGTGCAAGCTGGTGCTGTAAGCAAGATCGGGCAGGGGTGTCCCGCATTGGTTAATGATCTTAGCATTTCAGAGACTTAAAGTGATAGAGGAAGGCCTGTCTACTGTTCATGTCCCTCTTATACCAGTAGATTTTCTATTTTATGGCTGCCACAGAAAGAAAACCAATACTGTTTCATTGCTGGAGGGATGGCTCAGTGGTTAGGGGCACTTGCTAGAGGCTCCCAGCACCCACGTGGTGGCTCAGTGGTAGAACACTTGCCTAGCATGCACAAGGCTCTAGGTTCAATCCCTAATACCTAAAATAAAGTTCCATTCAGTACTGTCAGTTACAAAACTGATATCCAAAAAATTACTGTCATCTTAAGGCGGAGCACCTGTTGGCCTCACGTTGAACCACCCGCTGGTTTTCACTGAATATTATTCTGACTTGAATGACAGAGAAACTCTCATTATTCAGACCAGCATTCGGCTGATCTGGCCTTGATAATGAATGAAAAGCTTGTCACCTCCAAGAAAACAATCCACAGCATTTGCTGCCAATGATGAAGTTCAAGCTTTCAAGAGAAAATTGGGAACTTACAAAACCCCTGTCCACCTCCGTGAGCGTGACAGCCTCCGGGTGTTCACAAAGTTTCTTCCCCCCAGCAGTGGGGAGATCTGCTTCACTCAGTAGTATCTCCAGGTTTTTTAAGTGGTCAATGTATCACATATTCAAGGTGCGTGACAGTCCAGTGATGTCACGGTGTATGGAAAGCTCACGGATACATTGTTAGATCTTATGTTACAACGAACTTTTAAAAACAGCACTTGCAGTACCTAACAAGAATATGGACAAATATCTCACAAGAATATTTCAAATTCTCAACTACGCCCCACGAGATTGGCACTGGGATGGAACCCAGGGTTCCCTGCGTGAGAGGAAAGTGCTCTGCCCTTGTCCTCCAGCTCCCAGCCTGAGGACATACATCTCTGTAGTTGATGCCATTGCTCATCGGCCTTGTAAAGTCATGTGATCTCTACCAACAGTGTACAAGAGCTTTCTTTTCCTTCCATAACCACAGTATGATCCTTATGGTCCTTGCCTCTCTCAGAGGCAAAAAAAGGCACTCACACACCACAGCATTTAGTTTGCACACCTTTTGTTAGGCAGGGCCATCGGGATGCTTCCAGTTCTGGCTGGATCTAGCCCTTCGGTTAGACACCCTACTTCGGTGTTTGGGCCTCTAGGAACTAAGAACTAGCTCTAAATCCTGGAGTGGCTCTATGTGCCCAATCTTCTCAAGCATGGGGCACCAGCCAGCACTTCCCTCGGTGGCCGCTGGAGGGCACCGGCGCCCGCCGAAACGCACAAGGAGGACCTGCAGGTCCGCGGATATGCAGGATGCACCCTGTATCCAATCTCTACCCAGCATAGACGTAGACAGCTGACTCAAGGTGACAGCAGACTTCTCGACCACACAACCACCCTGGCTGGATGAGTGATTTGATGAGGTACACTCCGTCCGTCCCCTAGGCTCCCCGGGACTCAGTACTGTTGCCATCTGAGCTGGAAAGGCCTGGATGTAGTGGCCAGGGGCCCTCCATTCCGTTCTGGGCAACATCAAGGTTCCCCCAGCTGATGCCCGTGAAATCCATTCATATCACGCCCACCCCACCCCCACGCCCGCCTCCTACGTGACCACCACTGGGTGGAGGCCAATGTTGTTTCAGCTCTTCCAAGAACCTTTTACCTTTGTGCCCACCAGGGGGTCCTTGTTCACAAAAGCCTGGACAAACTCCTCGGGTCCTATGTGTCTTAGTCGCTCCTGCGTGGGAAAGGGAGAAGAGTCAGAAAAGAGGGAAGGCAGAGGGAGGGGTTGCATGCTGGAAGGCAGCAAGGGAGCCGTGAGGGGTACAAGTGTGGCAGGAAGGCGTCCACTTCCCTTCATTGCTTCTCTGGGGGTGGGGGGTGCTTTGGCCTCTGCACCTACGTAGAACCCCATGTGTTTGGGGCAAGGTCAGCTCATTCCCTTTTATCTGCATGAAGGGGGGCTTAGCTGCTACTCTGGAAAGCTGGGAAGGGCAGCCTCCCTCCCCCGACCCCCATGCACGTAGGGCCCAAATGGGAAGTTCCTCAGGCCTGAGAAGAGCAGGCATATTGAATGGCATCATGAGAGTTTGAACCCAGTTCCTCTGTCCTCGGCCTAGACTCTTATGCTGGCACCTCTAGACCTCCCGTCCCAGGCCCAAGGATGCTGAGGGACTGCTCCAAGGCCTTCTGCAGATGGCCCTGGTCACTAGGCCTAGATCCCTGGGCTAGCCTGAGATCAGGAAAGACAGGTTGGGGACAATACTGGCTACTTATAATGGCTCCCTTCCGTAGGTCCCACTCACCAGCTCCACATGGGTCAGTTGCTGGGCCAGCGTGTAGGGGTCGCTGCAGACACCTAGGAGCTCCCTGTGGATGGAGGCTGGAGGCTTGGTCCTGTACGAGATGGGCTTGTCCGCCCCTACCAGGCCTTCTGGCCCCTGGCCAAGTGATGCCAGTTTCTGGTGCAGGGTCTGCAGGAGCTGATGCATCCTGTTCCCGTAGGTCTAAGGCAGAGGTGAGGGGAGAAGGTGCTCAGGCCTGAATACCCACACCCCAAACTCATCCCCAGCCGCAGGCCCCTGGGTGTGTGTGTGTGTGTGTGTGTGTGTGTGTGTGTGTGTGTGTGTGTATATACACACGCGCGCGCCTCTGTGGACAAGGCCAGGTACCAGCAAATATCGTGGGACCTATCCCATCCTGAAAAAGGACTCTATGTTGGACATGTAGTTGGGGCCAAAGTGAAGGCCTGTTAGGGAGAAGGCTGGAGGGTTCCAGGTGGGGGCTGAGAAAATACTTTGGGTAGAACATCTCTGGCTAACGTACACCAGCTGTCTGAGCTTCGGGGTGAAGTGGAGAAGGCCAGCCAGGGAAGGAAGGAAGAGGAGGAAGGGACGGCATGGGACAGGCCCTGCCCGGAGGACTGGCCTCTTACTGGCTCCCGTGGGAACCATCCTGCTCTTCCAGCCCAGCTCAGAAACGCCTTCCCGACCAGCCTCACTCTCCCGCCTCAGTCCCTGGCAGTGCTACCTTCTTCAGTGAGACTTCTTCGACAGGGCCCTGGCTAGAATGATGCTGAATGGGACAGGAAATGCCATCTCTGTCACCAGAGCTCAGCCCAGCTCTGGGCATGCAGCATGTACCCCATGAATGGGGCAAGGACAAAAATCCACTCCACATGGAGCTCAGATGGACAGCCTGCTTTGGATTATGCCCTAAGTTGGGGGCAGGGACAAGAGGTTCCTAAAGGGGCACCCTCTTCTACCCACAAGGGGGAAATCCATCATCTTTCCTTCAGAGACCTTATTTCTTTTTTTTTTCTTTTCTGGAGCTGAGGACCGAACCCAGGGCCTTGTGCTTGCTAGACAAGCGCTCTACCATTGAGCTAAATCCCCAACCCAAGACCTTATTTCTTTAAAAAAAATTTTTTTAATTAAAAAAAATGGATGCAAACATGTTTGTTTGTGTGTGGGTGTGTACATTTCAGTGCAGGTGCCCTCCAAGGCCAGAACAGCGCTTCAGTCCCCTGGAGCTTGAGTTACAGGTAAGTTGTGAGCTGCTTGGAGTAGATGCTGGGAACTGAACTCACATCCTTCTGCTTTTAACCACTGAGTCCTGTCAGCCCCAGAGGCACTACTTCTAAAGAGAGAGATGCCACATGGGTTATTGAGACGTCTACATATCCCAAAAGTTTGGGCCAGTAACCCAGAATAGCCCCCTGAGTGTGTTAGCCTGTGGCAAATGTCACCCCGAGAGATGACTCTACTACTCACGAGCCAAGGAGCTATCCTGGGAGCTGGCAGAGCAGCAGTAGGCAGTGGGGGAACCTGCTCTCTCAGGAGCTCTCGTGGTTCATCTGTGGAGCCCTTCTCCTGCCTCAATTACAGGTCCCTGGTCACGAACACTGACTACCAGCTCGACTCTGCATGGGGAGCAGGGCAGTGGAGGGAGGCCCCTGTAGCACAGGTCCCTGGATATGGGACTTTGCAGGTGGCTTACTGGGCCAGAGAGCCTGGACACCAGTCCATCTGCGCCCATTGGTGGGTCTTATTCACCACCTAACACCATTGCCAGGACAGAAGGGAGAGGAAGAGATCCTGAACCTAAATCGGGCCCTGGGTCTCCTCCCTGATATGCAGGGTCTGGTTCCTCCATGGGCTCCGGAGGGCCCACTGAGGGGTTGTACTATGCCATGTGGGGAAAGAAGAGCCCAGAGGAGGCTGGAGGCGGGCTCAGGTCCTAGATAGGAAGATACAGGAAGGGGGAGTGACTTCCACCCCGGCTGGCCCACCTCGTCACACGGGGCGATGCGGCCCACGACGTCTGTTAGGTGTCCAATGGTGGACTCCTCCTCGAAGTCCCGGGGGAAGGTTTCAGTCCACTCGGCCAACAACTGGAGCAGCTTGGCCCCAAACTTCCGGACTCGGGCCTGCAAGGCGAAGCAGAAGCAGGGGCCACTTGGCCGGGGATAGTGAGGAGTTCTCAGGGCCCCAGGAGCCCCTCACTGAGCATGCTCTGCCTGTCGGGATCATACCATGGGCCCCCGCAGGAGGGGTGGTAAGCCTCAGGCTATCTGTGCCTGCAGCAGAGAGAGGACATCAGACTGGGGGGTGGGAGGGGAAGGTGCCCACTCGGCCCTGCTCACACAGGGGACGGGAGTGAGGCAGACACACATCTTGAGGCTGGGTCCATCTCATTTCTGTGGCCTACAGCATCCCTGGCTTCTCTCTTTCCCAGGGTCAGGGTATCTTAGTTTTCCCACGGGGCTCCCTCTCTTTTCCCAAGAGGCTCAGGGATGGAACTATATGAGCGCTACCTGATTGGTCCTAGCATTCAAATTCATCCTCTAATTCTATCACGTAATGACTGGCACACAGATGAGCATGTGACCTATACTAGGCCAATGAAATCTCAACCTTTTACCTTTAAAGGCCCTTCCACGTGATTCAAAGGTTAGAAGGTCTCCCTGACAGAGGAGGCCACCTACCACCGTGCAGGAGAATCTGCCTTAGTCCCAGATGAGATCAGGACAGAGCATCCAAGTGAGGAAACCCATGTCCTAAGTGCTGGGACTTGGGCCCCCAAAGAGAAGGCAGTTACACGAGTCAGTCATATCCTTTCCTTGAGCCGGCTGAAGCTGGGATTCTACCACAGTACCCAAAAGCCTGACTGACACGGGTGTAGAAAACCATGAGGTCAGGGAGAAGGGAAAGGGTCTGAGGCGCCGTGGCATGGAGAAGCCATCCTTCTCATACAGAAATAGAATGCAACTGGACGGAAGCCCAGCAGAGGCATGCGGCCATCCCAGGTCACAGGTGGCAAGGCCCCTACAGACTAGGCTCTGGGGACCCAGGTCTGGCTTTAACACGCTCTCACTGGACTTTGGAAAATGGCACAGGTATAAGGGTGCCTGTCCTTGCAGGTCCTGGGCCTCAGATAAGTCACAAACTTAATAGGCTCCCTTTCCAGAGGGCGGAGCAACCACGGCCTCCCGGAGAGGCTGACACTGGGAGGTCATGCCCCCGGGACACAGATGCACTCAGGGGCCCCCTCCTGCCCAGCCCCTCACCTTGTCCAGCACCGGCTTGTCCAGCTGCTGCTGCTCTATGCACAGGTGGCACACCCGAGCCAGGAGCTCCCGGGGCTCGATGAAGAGGCGTGAACTCAGCAGGAAAGTGAAGACATAGGCTTTCTGGGGAGGGTACCGCGCAAGCGCATCAGAGAGGGTGTCACCAGCCTGCCCCAACTCCCCCGACCCCACCGTCCCGTCCCATCAGCTGCCCCATGCTCTCTCCTGCCCCTCCCCCTGCCAGGAGGCTCACCTACCTCGGGGTAGTAATCGGCTGTGGGCACTAGGTGCTGAATCAGAGTGTCCAGAGAGGCTGAAGATGGAGCTCCGTCCAGGAGGGGCTGTCCAGCCTGCTCGCCTTCTGTGGATTCTGTGGGAGGCGGGCTGAGGCTGCCCGGGGTGACCATGTCGGAGGCACTCAGTGTCCGGGGCATGCCTGCCTGCAACGGTAAGAAACAGTTGGGGTAACCCGAGCTGGGCTCCAGGCTGGAGGACTCTGCCTCTCGCTGTCCGCTTCAGTTCAGTGAGCACGTCACGTGAGGCGGCCTGTGTCCCTTACTCCACAGCCCAGCATCCACTCTCCATTTTCGTGTAGCCCCTCAATTCTTCCCCTAGGAACTATCTCTTCTTCACTGTCCGTTTCTCCAGAACCTTCTCTTCCTGGGAAACCCTCCATAGAACCTGCTTCTCCCTCCGTTTCTCTCTCATCTTTATACTTCAGGCTGGCCTGTAACTCTCAGCAACCCTCCTGTTTCAGATTTGTCCGAGGCTGGCACTCCAGGGGTGAGCCTCCATGCCTACCCTTAATAGTCCTTAATAGTCACCATATTCCCCCAGCTACTGGCCACAAAGAGGCTCAGGGATGACCATGATCCAGACTAGGGGTTCAGGAACAATCCCAGATCTTCCTTGACTCTTTGAAGCTATTGTTCCCCTGAGGTCCTATTGACTGGATTTTGGGGGGATGGATGTAAGCTCGATATTGTTGAGTTCATCTTGTCATTATGAGGATCTGGGAAAGCAGGCACACTCTTTTCTGGGGGAGAGAGCTGAGAGTGAACCCTTGTGTATACTACCTAAGGGCTCTACCACTGAGCTAACATCCCCAGCCCTTTTGCTACTTTTCATTTCGAGACAGGGTCTTCTAAGTTGCCCGAGCTGGCTTTGTATGGACTCTGTAGTCCAGGCAGGCCTTTGAACTTATGGTCCCCTTGCCTTAGCCTACTGAGCAGCTGAGATCACAGACCTGCACTACCATGTCTGACTGAAAGCAGACACATTCCAAGAACAGTGTTAGAGCTGGATGCCCTTCCTGAGCCATGCTGCGGACTTCCCGGTTATCTGTATCTGCTGAAGTTGGCGTTCTTGGCAGTGCAGTTCAAATCTCTGCCTCCCGCAGCTGCCATTCCAGGAGCTTTGTGACACGGGTCCACTCACCCGCCCAACCTTGCTTCCTCCCTTTCCCCTTAGGCTTCTGCCACCACCACGTGCTCTCCTCTCCAAACATGTCCCATTCTGACCCCTGTACATGCTGTCCTTCCTGCAGGGTGGCTCCCACCCTCTTTACTTCTCTTCCCTCAATCCGTGTCTGAAACACCTCTGGGGCTATCCCTGCTTCCTCCCAGTGTCCCTCTACTCCAAGGCCATGCCTGATCCCTCGTGGACACCAGGGATCTTTCAGAGTCCTGTTCTAAGTCTGGGGCTTCTGTCAGCTGCTGGTGTAGAGAAAGCCCTCTGTAGGCATTACAGTGTTCTCTCCATGCAGGCCTCCTCTCCACCAGTGCCAGAGAGTCTCTGTGGCCTGGCTAGCAGAGGGCTGCTGCACATTTTTACAAGGAGCGTATGCTTACTCCCAGAAGCTCTTCATCACATCCCTATAGGCCAGTCTGTGGGTTTTGGACCAGCCTCAGCCTAGACAGTCAAATCACCCCGCTTTCTCAAACACAGAAACTTATGGGATCACCCCAAGGAACTTGCCAGGACTTAGTATTCTCTGCTGCCCCCTGAACGACTCTGGCTTTTTCTGCCCCTGAGTGACTCTGACCTGAGAGTAGAGACAGAAAGAGAGGGGGTCAGAGCACACTCAGGGATGAGAGGGAACCCTTCAGAGAGCTATCCACAGTCTGTGGTGTTGGAGGTGCTGGGATGGGGCTCGGTCGCCAGGCATGGTGGCACACACCTTTAATTCCAGCACTCTGGAGGCAGAGGCAGGCAGATCTCTATGAGTTCTATGCCAGCCTGGTCTACAAAGCAAGTTTCAGGACAGCTAGGGCTCATAGAAGCCCCGTCTCGTAAAACCAAAAAAAAAAAGGGGGGGCAGGGGGCTGGTCACTCCAGGTGGAGGCAGACTGGACAATCCTGACCTTGGTGACAGTCACAGATTGTCACCTCTCTAGCAAGCTGTAAGCACTCAATTTTCAGTCCTGAAACTATAAATTTCACAAACCACCTCTTGCCCAACCATGTGGGGAAGCCACTGTAGATGAAGATATGCAGGGGTGGGGCTAGGGTCCCCTGAAGATTCTCATTGGAGAGGGTGGCTATCTCTAGGGACAGCGGGTGCCAGCTCTGCCTCATGCCTGGGACTCAGCACCTGGTTCTAACTTCACAGGCCAAAGTGTGTGAGCTTAAAAGGTCCCCTCTCTCCTGTGTGATATCTGCTACCTCTTCACCCTGCAGCCTGTCCTGGACCCTGGTCCAATTTTCTCCAAGATAGCCTAGTGACAACATGGAGGTAACACTGAAACTCTCCATGGGACAGGGCAGCAGTCTGCCACATGGTGGGAGGAACCATAGAGGGATGCTTCACGAGACAATCAGGGAAGCTCCCAGAATACCTCTGGGCCTGGCTTAGCGGCCATCGGGCATTTGATGCTGGGTCCACGACAGTGGGTGGCTAGATCCCCAAGTTCACACTGGGAGCTGAAGGAGTGTCCCACAGGGATGACCTGAGAGGGGACAGGCTGCACACAGGAGGTTGGGAAAGTCACTGCACTGAGGCCTGAGTGCAGGAATGAGCCCGTGGAAAAACATGCCTGGTGAAGGCTGGGATGATTACGGAAGGTGTGCTTAGGTGGCAGGGGCCAGGTGGCAGGTCCTGAGTGACAGAGTAGGGGATAAGGGAAAGAACAGGCCTGCCCCCATATGTCCTTTCCTGTAAGTATGACTGACTTTTTATTAGTTTCTTAACTATTTCCCTGTAGCCTCTTTACACAAAGACAATATGAGCATATATTTCCCCCTTTCTTTATTACACACATACAAAATAGCATATCCCCCACACTGATCAGCTCTGGATTCTTTTCACTAACAATACATCTCGGAAATCTTTCTGTGGAAGGCCAGGGTTTGTTTCATTTTTTTTTTTTGCTTAAAATTTTATTTTAATTTTAAAACCATTTTATTCACTATTTATATGTCCAGAAGTAATTCCATAAAGCCAGTGATGAAGCATCCTACATGTTCATCAACGGACGAATGGATAAACAAAATGTACTAGATATATATGATGAATTATTATTCTTCCTTAAAAGGGGAGAAAATTCCGATACGTCCTACGGCATGGAGAAACACTGGGGACATTAGGCTAAGGGCAGAAGCCAGTGACAAAAAGCCAAAAGCTAGCCTGGGGAGACAAGCAGTTCCGAGCATATACTTCTCTTGTGACTCACAAAGCCCTCTTGTGGTTCCCAGAGGTACCACACTCAGTTGTGTTCTCTGTCTCTGTCTCTCTCAGAGCAATAACTGTTTGAATTTCTCTCTTGGCATTTTTTTTTTTTTTTTTTTTTGGTTTTTCGAGACAGGGTTTCTCTGTGTAGCTTTGAGCCTTTCCTGGAACTCACTTGGTAGCCCAGGCTGGCCTCGAACTCACAGAAATCTGCCTGGCTCTGCCTCCCGAGTGCTGGGATTAAAGGCGTGTGCCACCACCGCCCGGCTTCTCTCTTGGCATTTTTGGTGGCATGAAGCTGTGTGTGTGAACTGGATCCAGGCACGATATGGTTTTAGGAGGTCTCCATTTCATGACGCATCACTGAGCTTCACGGTACTGTAACAAATACCTGAGATAGTCAACGTATCAAGATAAATGGTTTATTTCAGCTTACTGTTTCGAAGCTTCCTTTCTGGTCAGTATCCGACTGGCCTAATCGCTTGGGCTAGCGGAGACACCATGATAGGGTTCTTAGTAGAAAAATAATCACTTGCCTCATAGCTGGTAAGTGAAAGAGATGAAGAGTAAGAGCTCAGCTACCATAGTCCTCTTCAGGTGCATGACCCCAGTGACCTGAAGAGCTCTCACTGCATTACACCTCTTAAAGGTCTGCCACCTTTCCACGGCACCATCCTGGGGACCAAGCTTTGATGCACAGGTCTCTGGAAGAACCTCAAGATCCAAACTAGAGTAAGACCATGTATAAGTTATTGTATCACTGCTGTGATAAATACCCTAGAGTAAGACCGGGTATAAGTTACTGCAAGTTACTGTATCACTGCTGTGATAAATACCCTAGAGTAAGACCGGGTATAAGTTACTGCAAGTTACTGTATCACTGCTGTGATAAATACCCTAGAGTAAGACCGGGTATAAGTTACTGTATCACTGCTGTGATAAACACCCTAGAGTAAGAACACGTATAAGTTACTGTATCACTGCTGTGATAAACACCCTAGAGTAAGAACACGTATAAGTTACTGTATAGTTGCTGTGATAAAATAACCTGACAGACATGGCTTAAGGGAGAAAGGGTTTATTCTGTCTCAGTTCATCATGGCAGAGGAGCTGTGGTGGCAGGAGCTGGAGGCATCTGGTCTCATTGCATCCATAATGACAAAGCAGAGTTATAAGGGCTGGTGCTCAACCTAGCTTTCTCCTTTTTATGCAACCCAGAACCAGAGCCCAGGAATGTTGCCAGTCACTTTTTTTATTTTATTTTAATTATTTAACCTAATTAAAATAATCCCTCACAGGCATGACTTGAGGCTAACCTAATCAAGGAAATCCCTCATAAGAGAGCCGGGAGCCACTAACCACCACAGACCACGAAATAGATAAGAATTATACAATAATCAGTGCTGGCGGGCATGTTGGAGCAACCCTTTGAACACTGCTGGGGTGAAGGGGTACATGACGACGTCGGTGCTTTTGACTTGTACCAAGATTCGGTTTCATGGGCCAAGTGCTTTGAATCCCATTGTCCTTTCACGCCAATCAAATCCTTGGCCACACACTCCATGACAATAATCACAAGGGAGGGGTGCTGGGAAGAAAGATGTGTGCGTCGGCTGTAACCTGGATCATAACTGAAGTGGCCAAGCCAAGGCTTACATTGCAAAGTCCACTCTGTGGTTTGTACTGGCAAGGGTCCCCTTATTTTTCACACTAGCAGAAAAGCTGCCAGCCCTCTACCCTCATGGGGACTTTACCTACTGTGTTTAGGTCATC